AATGAAACAATAAATTCTAAAAAAATTAAACAATCAATCAGCTGATAAGAGCCAATAATTGCCAAGGCTCAAAGACTTCTGGAAGGCCTTTTAAGGAAAAAAACACTGGCCTTTCCCTATTCTGTGGCAATGAAAGAAACTCAATCTGCTAAAGCAGCAGCTCTACTACTCTACTGTACACTCTATCTCTGGTTTTAAATCAACAGCTAAACCATTTCCAAAGGAGTTCAAGGCTGAGTCTCTAACAAAAGCTGACCTCCCCAGCACAAAAACCTAACCCACGGTGTACTTTGCTGAAGTCCTAACAGATATTCTGCTCTGATGTTTTCCTACCTGATACAAAGACCACATGAGGTCCTTAACTCATATAACAGGGACTATAAACAGTAATTCAGGCTTAGGGAAGCAAAGACATCTGCCCTTTTGAGGTATGGAAATACGAAGATCAAAGCCATGTTCTCTGACACAAGAAAAATTCATTATCAATATCCTTTTACTGACAGCTACATAGTGAAGACCAGCCATATAGTTAAGGGTCTTAAAATCAGATGCATGCGTAAATTTTAACTTCTCTGTTTAAAAGAAAAAAAAAACCAAAACAACAACACACTCACTGATTTTCTCCGAAGATCTACTTATAAAATAGCAAACAGTTCTTGCTCAGTTACAGATATCCATGATTTTCTACTACATCAGGAATACATACATGCAGCTACTTTAAATGAAAAGCATGCTCCTTTTGATATATATTTATATTCAACAAGCAGAGATACTTGTTCGCTGGTTGTCATGAAGATGACCAATAAGTAGTTAGATTATAAAGGTCTAAAAGGCATAATAAACATTTTTTAGATACTATAAAATCATTTTCACATCACATCCATTTCAATGAGAACATCACAAGTAGATTAATACCTTGATGGCCAACAGAGTCAAAGGCAATAACATATACTTTTGTATAATGAAAATGGTCCAACATCAATCTTTTGAGCTTAGGTCATAGAAGTGTACTGTAAAATGTCTCTTCCTCAGAAGGATTTACTCAACAGGACAGTCATTTTTAATAAGCCAGTGCTGTGGAAAAGAAGCAGTGCCAAAGTTTCCTGTTACAAAGCACATGTGCTCCTGCTATAAAAAAAGCATGATGCTTTAACAGAGAAAATGCTGCACTAGACACTGAAGATGTGACAAATAATCAAAATATGCTTGACAAACAACTTCAAAACTTATTGAAAGCACAGGAAGTAATAAAATGCCTGGTTTAAGTAAAAATTTCAAGTTTGGCATTGGCAGAAAGCTCATCTGTTTCCATCTTACACTCTCTTTAGTGTGTATTTATGTGCACACACTCTACACACACTGTAGATAGTTTTGACATTCATTAAGGTTCCCTACCCCCTTCAACTTACAGAAGAAACAGTGACAGAATATTGCAAATAATCTTTCAGTACTCTTGTCTTTACTTAAAATATACTATAATCATATAACCATAGTTACATTATACTATATATTTGTAGTATACATATACTAAATACAAGTTCATTTGATGAGTGAAACCAGCTTTAAATTTGAGGTATTTTGACCCCAGAAAACGTGATGACAATAAAAATACCAGGACTGCATAGATTCACATTAGACAAATAGTTATTCAATTTTTTACTCAATTTCTGAGCAAAACCACTACTTGAAGCTTGGCTTCTAAATATGCTCTAATGTTGCTACTTTAAATATGTAGCCACAATGAATCTAAGAATGAGATCTAAATATTTTATTTCACTTTAAAAAGAACTACATAAAAGGACAGCAAATGCCATTCATGTCCACTACTGCAGGGTTAATTTGTTTAGAGAGATTTGTTGTTTGTTTTTAAAGTCTGTGGCCATGGGAGTCAGCACCAGGAAGGATCTCAGCTGACCAAAAATTCTGACATACACCAATTAACTATTCATATAAACCTTTATCATACTACCAAAAACTTTTCCTGCCAGGATGACATTATGGTAGCCCAACAGAGTTTCAAACCAGGAATTTCAACCATTTTGCAAGTTATCCCCATCACCAGGTAGAATACATGCCTACATGAGCTACAGCTGTTAACCTGAAAATTTATTTCTGCATCTCTACTGTTGACGGAAAAGAAACAATAAAAGCAAACCACACAACATCCCCCCAACGCGCACTCTATTTTTAAGCCACCAAGTTAAAAAAGGAGATGAAGATTTAACAATGTGTTTCTGCTACTTTAAAATGGTCTGGAGATACAAAACAATCACAGGCGTAATTTAAAACTGTGGATTCACATCTATTCTCAATGTGAGTAGCAATACCTGAAAACATTATCACTTCTGTTCTGTTTCAGCTACTAAATTGTGCTAGCAAATTCTTTTATTTCAGAACTGCTGGCTGAGATTGTTTTTGCCCTTACTCTTTGAGCTGTTTCACTGCAGAAGTGCAAAGTTAGCTTCAGTATTTTGAAACTTTATGACTTTGACTGCAGTGGGTTAGGAAGTCAGCAGCTTACACAGCAAATTCAAGGGAGGCAGTAACCTTCAACAGGGAAGACAGCAGGGAAGAATAGAAAGGAGCACAAGGTTAAGAGTTGTAACATTTTTAGCTATGTTAACACCAGGAAAACATACACGCTTGTGTTTTTTTCAAAGGTTCATTTCATATTCTACTTCCCTGTGCCTTATTAAAACACGGATGAAGCTAGGAAACTGCAGGTCTTCCAG